GTGTGTGTGTGTGTGTGTGTGTGTGTGTGTGTGTGTGTGTGTGTATGTGTGTGTACTCACCTAGTTGTACTCACATAGTTGAGGTTGCAGGGGTCGAGTCCAAGCTCCTGGCCCCGCCTCTTCACTGGTCGCTACTAGGTCACTCTCCCTGAACCATGAGCTTTATCGTACCTCTGCTTAAAGCTATGTATGGATCCTGCCTCCACTACATCGCTTCCCAAACTATTCCACTTCCTGACTACTCTGTGGCTGAAGAAATACTTCCTAACATCCCTGTGATTCATTTGTGTCTTCAACTTCCAACTGTGTCCCCTTTTTGCTGTGTCCAATCTCTGGAACATCCTGTCTTTGTCCACCTTGTCAATTCCTCTCAGTATTTTGTAAGTCGTTATCATGTCCCCTCTATCTTTCCTGTCCTCCAGTGTGTGTGTACTCACCTAATTGTACTAACCTAATTGTGGTTGCAGGGGTCGAGACTCAGCTCCTGGCCCCGCCTCTTCACTGAGTGCTACTAGGTCCTCTCTCTCCCTGCTCCATGAGCTTTATCATACCTCATCTTAAAGCTGTGTATGGTTCCTGCCTCCAGTACATCACTTGCTAGGCTATTCCACTTCCTGACTACTCTATGAATGACGAAATACTTCCTAACATCCCTTTGACTCATCTGGGTCTTCAACTTCCCACTGTGACCCCTTGTTTCTGTGTCCCCTCTCTGAAACATCCTGTCTCTGTCCACCTTGTCTATTTCATGCAGTATTTTGTATGTTGTTATCATGTCTCCCCTAACCCTCCTATCTTTCAGTGTTGTCAGGTTGGGTACCCATAACCTCTTCTCGCAGGACAAACCCCTCAGTTCTGGGACTAGTCTTGTTGCAAACCTTTGCACCTTCTCTAATTTTTTGACGTACTTGACCAGGTGTGGTCTCCGTACTGGTGCTGCATACTCTAATACGGGTCTGACGTACACGTGTCGTAAATGACTCCTTACTTAGAAGTATTCTCAGGTTTTCGAGGCACCCGTATGCTGCAGCAGTTATTTGGTTGATGTGTGCCTCAGGAGATGTGCTGGGTATGATGCTTACCCCAAGATGCTTTTCCTTAAGTGAATTTTGTATGTGTGTGTGTGTGTGTGTGTGTGTGTGTGTGTGTGTGTGTGTGTGTGTGTCGGTGTGTGTCACTCATCTCCCCAGAAACTCTAAGAAAAATCAAGAAAGAAATCCCTGATTACTGAGAAGCAAAACTTTTTATCTCAGCTCATTAGAGCGCTGAGTAAATCTGATAAAATACCATATACAACAACGCTTATTCATTAGTCAGTCTTAACCTAATTATTTCTATAATTATTTATATAATTGGAATCATTAAGTAAATATCTTAATGCATCGATACGCAATGAACACCAGTACGTATTATATTATATATATATATATATATATATTTATATATATATATATATTATATATATATATATATATTATATATATATATATTATATTATTATATATATATATATTATAATATATGTATATATATGTATATACACACACACTGGTAGTCCTACAGACTCACCATACAGAGAGAACCGTGGAAGGATGAAGGTGAGGACGCCTCACGGTATCCTTCAGGAGCAGCCACCGTCCCTGTCCACTGCTGGCCACCAGCGTCCCTGGCGGTCTTGCTGGCGTCCTCGTTCAAGGGACAAGCCAGGTCAGGCGTCCTGGAGAAGTAGCCGAAGGAGAGGTCCGTCTCCTGCCAGGAAGGGTGGTCATCGGAGAAGGGACGCTGGCAGGTACCTCCCCGGGTGTCCGTGACGTCTGGACGCGCATACCTCACCCTGGGACACGTACCCAGGAGCTCCTGGGTGTCCTGCCGCTTGCGGGACTCGTATGAGGCGTCTTGGGCGCGGCGTGGCGTCCCCGGAGCAGCATAAGACACCACAGATGGCGTCCTTTTCACCCTGGGGGACACCTGGATGGCCCCGCCTCCTGCGACGTCCATTCTTCAGTGTTTCGCAGCCCTTGTCTCACCTGCTCATGCTCAGAGAGACGTCACCATCACCGAAAATATTATTTATAAGACACGCTAAACCCGCGTGGATCATTCAGCAAAGGAAGTAGTGGAGGCTCGCTCCTCCGTCCTTCTGAGAGACGCACACTGTTGCAACGCTCCAGCAACACTCCACCCAGCTAGAGGAATTTCTCGCCATACCCAGGAATCTCCATCATTCCTGCCGTCACTGCCGGTCTAACTAAACCCAGATTCGTACACACCAAAAATAACACATTATGATAACACTTTCACTAACACTCATTAACACAGCTGTAGCAAGCACTTGGCTGGCTCGTGAATTAGGTCTATCATTTCTTTCAGATACACAGCGTAAACGATAGGTTGATGTTAATCAGGCAGATGGTGGACGTTTTGAGGGACTTCTTTAAAAAAATAACTTCTTACGTCTCTTAAAGATTCCCTTCTTCCTTCATCTTGAGAAGCTGTGAGCATCAACCTGAGGAAGAGAGAGAGAAAGAAGCGAAATATTAAATACCAGAATGTGTTGAAGACAACACTTGTGACTGAAACAGAGGCATATGTACACTGCGGCTGGGCGAGACTCGATCCTGCGTCACTTTGTCCCGCCCCTGTGGGAAGCAAGACAACATTCGCGACGCTCTGTCCGCTAGAGTCTAGTGGTCTAGTAACTAGACCATCAATCGTGCAAACATGAGCCTAGCGAAGTAGGCTTGGCTTCATGTTGCGAGGAACACACGTGGCCATGGCAAGCTCAGAGTTATTACTCTACTCCCGTTGGAATACCAGCGAGCAGTCTTATATATATTAAGGAAATCACGAAATAAGTGATTTTTAATTATTAACGATACTGCGGCTGACCGAGACTCGATCCCGTGTCACCTATTAGTAAGTGAGAGATACACAAATAACCCGCACTATAGAAGAGAGGAGCTCACGATGACGTTTCGGTCCGACTTGGACCATTTACAAAGTCACAATTTGTAAATGGTCCAAGTCGGACCGAAACGTCGTCGTAAGCTCCTCTCTTCTATGTGCGGGTTATTTGTGTATCATTACAGTCACGTTTTTTTTTTTTTTTTTTTTTTTTTTTATAAGTGAAAGATAATTCTAAAAACCCTCAGAAGAGTTGTGTAGCCAAGCGTACATAAAGAGACCTCCCCTTCTAAAAGATAGACACACACACACACACACACACACACACACACACACACACACACACACATATACACACACAAACAAACACTAACACTATCACACTCACATTAAGCTCTCCCACACCAAAAAAAAAAAAAATCAGGGCAAGGGTAATTGGGATGGCTGTAATGAGAATGAATCATGGGAAGAAAGGATCAAGAACACAATGGAACAAGAGTGGGGGAAAAATTAGCAAGTTTTGCAGCTCAGTGGAGAAGACGTCTACAGAGATCAAGAAGTGGAAGTTATAAGCTGTTGTTGCTGAGGCAAAGATGCAGAACCTGATGAATGAACTTGAAGTGCTGAAGCGGAATATAGAGGTGACGAATGGATGAAGTAATATGCTGGGTCCAGGAACAGTAGCAGACAGTGAGGGGACTGAAGGAGGGGAAGAAGCAAAGAAGCCCCTTGAGGAAATGATATTAGGTCACCAGGACAACTTGGAGACGATAAGGGAAACAATCAAGGAGATACTTAAATCGGACCCAGAGATATGGAGGGAAACAATATGGGAAGAGGAGAGGGAGAGGTCACTTATTATTTATGGGCTCCATGAGACAGAAGGGAAGACCTTATGACGAAAGAAGACAGAGGAAGGTAAAAGAGACTGAGAGCATCATCTTGGTAACAGGAAAGGACATGACCCAACTGACAAATTTTCAGAGACTTGGGTGGTACCCAAGGAAAAAGAGCCACCCAAATTCACACTCAAGACAGAAATGGTAGGAAACAAGATTCTGCAGCAGAAACCTCAGTTAAAGGATTCCCCAAAACACCAGCGAGTGTACTTCGACAGCGACAGATCACAAAAAGTGGGAACAACTGAAAGAGTACGAAGGCGTAAGAGGCAGGAAGGGGAGACAGAACAGGTACCAGCAGACAGGGACGCGCAGCCTGGGGGAAACAATAAACACAACTGCCCACAGAACATCCACAGCATCCCCTCAACCCCCTACCAACCCAACCAATCAAACACAATAACCAAAAACAAATCATACTCCACACCTACAGTCCCTGCTCCACACCCCCAGCCCTAATACCGTCTTAACAGCATTCTACCATAACATCCAGCACTGTATACCTCACCTTCAGCCTGCCTGCACCAACCCCTCCCACACCCCAGAATACAGTTCTGGAAAGGAAGCTGAAGTATGCTGACCTTACCTTTTTTTTGTTTTTTTCAGTACAACGTAATTAGGATATGAAAAAATTAATTACAGAGTGCAGTCCCTGAAGACTTTCCTAGCTTTCTCGGTGTGTGTGTGTGTGTGTGTGTGTGTGTGTGTGTGTGTGTGTGTGTGTGTGTGGTGTGTGTGTGTGTGTGTGTGTGTGTGTGTGTGTGTGTGTGTGTGTGTGTACTAGCCTATATGTGGTTGCAGGGGTCGAGTCATAGTTCCTGGCCCCGCCTCTTCACTGGTCGCTACTGGGTCACTTTTCCTACTCTATGCGCTTTATCATACCTCTTCTTAAAGTTATGTATGGATCCTGCCTCCACTAAATCACTTCTCAGACTATTCGACTTCCTGATAACTATGTGACTGAAGAAATACTTCCTAATGTCCCTGTGATTCATCTGAGTCTTCAATTTCCAACTGTGGCCCCTTGTTTCTGTGTCCCATCTCTGGAACATCCTGTCTCTGTACACCTCATCGATTCCTCTCAGTATTTTATATGTCGTTATCACATCCTCCCTATCTCTCTTGTCTTCCAGTGTCGTCAAGTCGATTTCCCTTAGCCTCTCCTCGTAGGACATACCCCTTATCTCTGGGACTAGTCTTGTTGCAAACCTTTGCACTTTCTCAAAATTCCTCACATGCTTGGCTAGGTGAGGGCTCCAAAGTGGTGCTGCATACTCCAATATGGGCCTAACGTACACGGTGTACAGGGTCCTGAATGACTCCTTATTTAGATGTCGGAATGCTGTCCTTAGGTTTGCCAGGCGCCCATATGCTGCAGCAGTTATTTGGTTAATGTGCGCTTCAGGAGATGTTCCCGGTGTTGTACTCACCTCAAGATCCTTTTCCTTGAGTGAGCTTTGAAGGCTCAGGCCCCCTAGATTGTACTCCGTCTGTGGTCTTCTTTGCCCTTCCCCAATCTTCATGACTTTGCACTTAGTTGGGTTCAACTCCAGGAGCCATTTGCTGGACCAGGCTTGCAGCCTGTCTAGATCCCTTTGTAGTTCTGCCTGGTAATCGTCCGATTGAATTCTTCTCATCAACTTCACATCATCCACAAACAGGGACACTTCGGAGTCTATTCCTTCCGTCATGTCGTTCACAAATACCAGAAATAGCACCGGTCCTAGGACTGATCCCTGTGGTACCCCGCTCGTTACAGGCGCCCACTCTGACACCTCGCCACGTATCATGACTCGCTGTTGTCTTCCTGATAGGTATTCCCTGATCTATTGCAGTGGCTTCCCTGTTATCCCTGCTTGGTTCTCCAGCTTTTGCACTAATCTCTTGTGTGGAACTGTGTCAAACGCCTTCTTACAGTCCAAGAAAATGCAATCCACCCACCCCTCTCTCTCTCTTCTCTTACTGCCGTCACCCTGTCATAGAGCGCCAGTAGGTTTGTGACGCAGGATTTCCCGTCCCTGAAACCGTGCTGGCTGTCGTTGATAAGCTCATTCCTTTTTATGTGTGTGTGTGTGTGTGTGTGTGTGTGTGTGTGTGTGTGTGTGTGTGTGTGTGTGTGTGTGTGAGGTGAGATTGTGTACATTTCACTGTCACCCTAAATCATCTTGACCAAATACATAAAAGAATTTTTTCCTCACTGGACGGGTCTTACCCTCCCACCAGCCAAGGATTACAAGGTGATACAGAAATAACACTGTTATCTAGCATAAACGAGCGCCACACTGTCCCACATTGACCATCAAGTGCCGGAGCCTGCTATCATCGTCACCAGAACGCCAGAAGGCGATACATTAATCATTAGAAACACAAAGGGTGCCATTATCGTTAATTCAAAGGCAGAGGGTGCAACCTTGAGAGTGCCAGAGGCTGCCTTTCTCATCGATTAGTATGGCGCTACAGGGCGATACCTGGGCTTGGTGCAGTGTTACATGGTGACATGCTGCCCGATACAGTCACTGAAACTGGAATAGTGACGAACCCCTTTTTTGTATTACCCTTCCTCCTCTTCGTCAACAACGGACAAGGGGTTTAATAAAACACATGAGCAAACACTAGCACATTATTTACTGGATAAAGTGTCGGTCCTGGGAGCTTGATCAATGCTAACTTGATGAGTAAGACACATGTGCAACAGTTGGGTATCTTTATTGTTGCAACGTGTCGCCTACGCGGTAAGCTTCATCAGTCATATACAGAGGAGAATGTATTGAAGGTAGTAGGAGTAGTGACGAGGTAAAGATTATGGTAATCAGTCCATCAGCCTTGATGAAATGGTCTGAGGTGGTCAGTCCTTTAGCCTGGAGAAGAGTTCAGCTCCATGGTCAGAAACGATATGATGCTGAAGCATGAGAACGGAGTCTTAAATATTGTCGAAGGTGAGGTGGAAGATCTTGAAGACCTTGCTGACTTACAGAGATCAAGAATAATAGTGTGTAGAAGCATAAAAGTGTGGCGTGAGAGACTGTCAGTGACCTGGTCAGAGTGAGAGTGAGAGTTTCTCAGAACTAGTAAGGAAGACAATAATGTCGCGTGATTCATACTTCACAACACAGGAATCACGTGTCACCATGGCTAACCTCACTCACACTGTCACCAAGGCTTACCTCACTCACACTGTCACCAAGGCTTACCTCACTCACACTGTCGCCAAGGCCTACCTCACTCACACTGTCACCAAGGCCTACCTCACTCACACTGTCGCCAAGGCCTACCTCACTCACACTGTCACCATGGCCTACCTCACTCACACTGTCACCATGGCCTACCTCACTCACACTGTAACCATGGCCTACCTCACTAACACTGTCACCAAGGCCTACCTCACTAACACTGTCACCATGGCCTACCTCACTCACACTGTCACCAAGGCCTACCTCACTCACACTGTCACCAAGGCCTACATCACTCACACTGTCACCGTGGCCTACCTCACTCACACTGTCACCAAGGCCTACCTCACTCACACTGTCACCAAGGCCTACCGCACTCACACTGTCACCATGGCCTACCTCACTCACACTGTCACCAAGGCCTACCTCACTAACACTGTCACAAAGGCCTACCTCACTCACACTGTCACCATGGCCTACTTCACTAACACTGTCCCCAAAGGGCCCTACCTCACTCACACTGTCCC